CGACCTTGTGTTTCCAGCGCCTCCAGCATCTCGATCTACCCTCGTGCCGGATCCGCGCCCTGTCCGGACGAGGATGATGGTTCCGCAGCTCCGGCGTCCTCCGATGATTCGCGGTACCTGAGTATCCACTGTTGTATCTGAAGTCTTTTGTCATCTGGTATGAGCGGCCACAAGAGCCGCAGGGAAAAGAGGTAGAGGGCGTTACCTGCCAGGTTAACTGCCGTGTCAGATACCATTTTGGCCGAAAGATGGCCTGTCGTCGGCTGCAGTCCTTCGTAGATAGCTCGTTGTGCTGTCTGCAGGAAAACATGCTGTCGTGGGAGAGGGCCTTCAGCCAACGTCCGTATCCAGTTCTCGTCGTTCTCCGGGATGTCCGCCTGCAGCATGACTCGTATTGCTCCCACCATGTGTTCCATGTCCTGGGCTCTCTCATCAGAGAGGAACCCGGCAATGGTGGTCTGCAATGTGCGCGAGTGGTTTGCGGCGTGGCTTCGCTTGAATTCCCGAAGCCGAGCGGCAGCCTGTCGGCTCGGGTAATTCTGTTGCAGCTGGTGTTGCAAATGCAAAAAGCATAGCTGTATAACCAACTCCTCCTCGAAGCTGCTGCGCTTGGCTTCAAAAGCCCGCTCCACTGCATCCTGCTGTGATATCCGTTCCGGTACAGCCTCTTCGTTTGGGTGGTCTTCGCTGTTGTCTCGGATATCAAGTAAATCAGCACTGTCAGGCTGAGAATCCAGCGTGCCATCGGACCAGCTATCAGAGTCATAGCTACTGCTAGACGAGTCCTGCGCAGACCTCGGCATACACCCCGGCTCGAGAGCCCCAAAAGCGGGTGATGCCTGGCCGTACAGTCCACTGGGAAAGCACGCAGAGGATCCTCACCATGTACCGCCGGTCCGAACTTCCAACCAAGCTTGGGCCAAGACGCTTACTACTGCTACTACTACTACTACTACTATTACTACTACTACTACTACTACTACCACTACTTACTACTACTACTACTACTACTACGACGACGACTACTACTACTACTATGATGTGATGATGATGATGATGGTTATTTTTTACTATCATTATTGTTTTTTGTTATAGAAATGCTAGGGTTCTTAAAACTATCATTATTGCGCTGATGACAATTAGTATTATTAAGAAACTCATTTGTATAATTCGTGCCAGTATTGAATATTGTTATAAGTATGTTTAGGGTTTAGGCCTGTCTACAGACCTTTTGCGCGTTTAGGGCGACTTTAGGATGTGTTTGGATAACGGTTACGGTTCAGGGACTAGGACTCGGTTTAGGGTTTAGGGTTTGCAGGTTTATGGTGTCGCGGGCCTGTTGTTCGGAACGGATCAAGTTTAAGTTTTAGAGTTCATAAAGAGTTTAGGAATGGTTATGGGTTTCAGGGGTGTGGGGGCTTAGGCCTGGATGCAAAAAGGGGTGTGGGGTCTGGCATTGCGGAACAGTTTAGGGTTTCGAGCGCAGATTTGTTTCTAGGGTTTCAGATCGGTTGTGTCGGAACGGTGTCAGGTTTCGGACCGGTTCAATATATCGGGTTTGGGAACGGCTCAGTGTTCAGAGCTTTAAGAACGGCTGAGCATTTCGGGTCGCACGAGTTCAGAGTCAGGCTTCATGAGCGATCAGTGCAGCAGGTGTTTAGACTACGGTGTTTTCCAGCGTTTGCCCACGCAGGGTTGGGTTTGGGAAGTGTGTGGGGCACGATTTGAGGTTCAGGGTAGAGGAACGGTTTTGAGGCATATGGGGTGCAGGCACAGCAGGGTTCAGCGTCGGTGTGGGGTCAAGGGGCTTTGGGCTGCTTTTGGGTTAATTGTTCAGTGTTTTAGGTCCATTTTTGATTGCACAGTTTTACTAATTCCTTGCATTGCGGAAGTCAGTGTTCAGGCGATTGCACAAGTGGGAATAGGAAGGACGTATGACTTAACTGCCGGCACGCTTTCGGAATCGGGCGGGTTGCAGGAGCGGTTTAGGGCTTCGAGGCAGAGGAGCAGTTCAGGGTCCAAGGTTTGGGAGTCGTTGAGGGGTTTACGAGAGAACCCAGGGTTTCGGAGCGGTTCGGGCTTGATTCAACAGACTTGAGGGTTTTCTCAACGCTTTAGGGTTTCTGAAGAGTTCAAGCACGATTTATTTGCATTGGCCTGAAGTTTTGGCAGGGTTTAGGGTTTTGAGCGGTGTAGGTGGGTGTACGATCCATGGCTATCACTTTAAGGTTTGTTTCGCGTTTGGCATTTGTGTAAGGTTCGAGGTTTCGGTTCAGAGGTGCTGGGTGAACGTTTCGGGTTTCAGGGTTTGCACGTAGGAACAGCTTGAGGTTTGAGCGTAGATGGCTCAAGGTCCAGGGTTTCAGGATTTTCGGGTTTAACGAGATGCTAATTGTAGTAGGCATCGGGTGTTTCGATTGTTTAAGCTTGCAGGCTAGATGCAACAGGGTTTAAGTTGCTAAAGCTTTCGTTGGAATGTGTGGGTTGTTGGCCAAGAGTGTCAGAACACCTGAGGCAACGCCGCGTTCTACTCTCCAAGCATGCCGAGCAGAGCCCCGTCAAGTGCAACGCTTAGCCGGGCTCTACCAAGTGCAGTCGAAGTCGACTTCAACTTCCTGCCCAGGCACATCGATTCGCGCTGGTCAACAGGATGAGCGACCAGGCTCGGGGTCGTCACGAGTCTCCTGCCTGCGCAGGGTGTCTTTCAAACGCAGTACCGTACATGTAATCCCGTCTACTTGCGTGATTGAAATACATAAGATGTACTGTATGTATGTACATATATTAGTATATGTATATGTAGATGTATATGTAGATCTATGCATGCATGCATGCATGCATGCATGCATGTATGTCTATTCTTTATTTCCATGTCTACTTCTGCAAGCATTTACATGATTATATGCACCAGGTCTTGAGATGGAGGCAGGCCTCATCAGAGGAAGCCGTTGTCGTGAGTTTGCAGGCTCTCAGAGCAGCATAAGGCGAAGTGCAAGTGGGTGCCCGAGTTGTGGGTTCGGTTAGGACCGGGTTCGGAACATGCTTCAGGCAGCCTTGAGCAATCCTGGCAAGGCAGTGGCGGTCGAATCGGCCTCGCCGTGCCCACAGCCACCGAACATGTGCATGGAGCACTTGCATCTGCTCTCCATAAACTCCTCCACCGAGGCTGCCAGCACCTGGTCTCCCGGTGGGAAGGGCGCGAGCTCCAAAGGACCTCTCTTGTGCAGGTAGTTGTAGCTTCTAGCCGTGCCTCTTTGTTTTCAGGACAAGGCCAGAGAGAGTCGAGAGACTCCAAAGGCAAAGGAAAGTCTTCAGGCACAGACTTGTTGGATCGACCCCGGTTCCTTTCACACGGCGTACGACGTGTGATGATTCTTTCCCAAACAGTGTGGTGCCACTCTGAGGTTCTTGCATTGGGTGCTTGCAAAAACGATTCGGGGTGTTCTTCTGGATCTCGCAAGCTCAGGAGTGTGAGAACAAGTTTCACGAAACGCGCTATAGTAGTCTCCGCTAGCAGAATAGTGGGTTGACCTTCTTATTCGGAGAGGGGCAATCACATGCACACCCACGCGCACACCTACCTCTATCGACTCTATCATCACAAAGGTCCGACATTTTTGTTGTGAGTCTTCGTCACGTGCTTTGTCATTCTCCCGGCAGGGAAGGCACGGGCTCGGAGCATCGAGCGCGAACGCCCTCCCAGGCTCTGCTATGCTCGCAAATCCAGGTGCTTGGAGGTTCATAGGTACTCTGGCGCTGGTTGATGCCATGGTAGCTTTTCGCTGCTGCTATGACGTGGTTCGCGCATGGTACCGTAGAGCCTTCATCTGATGTTCGGAGTTCTTCTCCCTGCGCACAGGACAGACTCGGTTCCCTACTCCGAGAAAAAATGGATCAAATCCGATGGCACTGAGGTTGACGTGGAGCCGGCCTGCTTTCAAGCTAGGTTGGCCTTGAGCAGTGTTTAGGGACCCAGAAAGCACATAAGCATAAGTATGCTACAGGGATATCCCTACCTTATTGGGCTTCATTATAACGGGGTTTATATGGGATATTCCTATCCGAATCTTTGCTTATGTGCTTGTGTTGGGGGCCCTAAGTTTCTAGTTTAGATCTTCTGCTAGGAATTTACCACCGGGCTGGCTCAGCACCGCAGCCTCTCTTCCCTGGTGCATTGCTTGAAATGGCACCTGCTGATATGGACGCCATGGGATCTGTCTGCCAAGACGCTGCGAGAAAGAAAGGTCAGAAGAGGTTCGGCAGATATCCGACGGCAAGAGCACCTATGGGAGAAATATTTCAAGAAGGCTGCTATGTTCGTTTCACAGCTCAGAACGGGGAGACTTATCAGGTGGACGTCTCGAAAATGCGGCAGCGCAACCTCAGAACTGGCACGGAGCGTTTGGTCACTCTCCGGGGGCAGACTGGTTGGCACTTTGACACGAACAATACACGAACACCTGACCCTGCGTGGCTACCCTATGCACGGTCACTGCACAAGATCCTGGATGCTGCGTACGCCTCATTGAAAGACAAGGTGCCGGCTTCAGCAGAAGATGCGGGTTGCAAGGTCGACCAGGCAGAATCTCAGCAGGATTCGAAGCAAGATGAAGCCTTTGACCCCCGAGCAGCCTGCCGAGACTCTCTTGCGCAGGATGGTGCTGCTCAAGCGATTCAGGAAGTGCTTTGGAAACATCCAGCTGTCGAGTTCACCATTGATGAAGCCAGAGCAGCTGCGATGTCTGGGCAGGTTGAGGCTCTACGCTTAGTTCTCTGCAGAGGCCCGCAAGTCCAGCTCCAAGGCCATGATATCTTCGACAGGCGGTATCCTGGTTTCGTGTTGACCGAAGAGCACAAGTGCTGCATCAAGATCATGCTTGCAAGAGGAGCTCGGCTGGGAAAATTCGCGCCCAGCAGCAAGCTTCTTCGCAAGGTGGAGTCGGACACGCTGCTCCTCTGGACAAACCGCTTTTTGCATTCTTTGCTGCTGAGCGGGGTAGTTCTTCCAGACCATGTGCAGGAGCACATCGTGCAATTCATTCAAGGATGAAGTGTACAGAAGCACGGTGTCTTGAAAAGCCGACTTCCTGGGACTGATATGCTTGCCCCTTCAGTGTTTCGGCTTCTATGATGTGGTCGTTGGCAGCCGTGTCAGAAGCTTGTAGTAGATACGAGACATCTTCCGAGCCATGGGCATATCGCCGGAAACCCTCGCTCTCCAGAACAGCGTAACCTCAGCTGCAATCATCGACGAGTTCAAGAGCGATGCCGCCTTCAAGCAGGTGGCAGAGCGGTTGATGAAAGAGATCATGCAGCGAGACCAAGAAGATGGGGACAAGCTGGCGAAGGGAATTCAGCTTGCAGTAGACAAGAAAGTCCTGCCAGCTGACGTAAAAGTGGAGCCGATCACGAAGATTAGCGTCTCAGGGAAGAGTGCTGACCAAGTAGCCGACGAAATCATTGCAGCCCTTGGCGATGCCCCCTCCAAGGGCTGCGTCATGACACTGCAGGGCCTTTCGGGCACAGGCAAAGGCACGACCGTCGACAAGCTCAGAGAGAAGCTGCCGAACGCCCAGACCTGGAGCTTCTTGGAGTGGAGTCGGAGTACAATTCTCCGTTTCTTGTCTTCTCCTTTCGTTTGGGACAGCTTTGAAGCCTTGGGGCTGACTTGCGAGCTGAGGTAACGGCAACCTCTTCCGGTCGATCACGCTGTTGGCAGTGACCCATGCTGAGCAGAAGGGCTGTGAGCTTCAAGATGTGTTGACTCCATCTGACCTCGCGACTTTCTGCGGCATGCTGGAGTTCGGAAAGTTCAATGACAAGTGGGATGTCAAAATTGAAGGTTTGGGCTGCAAGTACTTTGTCTCCGAAGTCGAGAAGACGGTGCTTAAGGAGTCCAAGGTGGGAAAGAACATCCCAACGGTTGCAGAGGTCACGCAGGGAGAAGTTGTCAACTTCGTGCAGAAAGCATTGGAGTTGATGGCAGCAGGTGGCACAAATGTGCCTCTCGGACCTAGCAGAACAAGTCTGTGGCAATCTGTGGTAACTAACCTGGCGCAGTAAGCCCGCCTCAGCCCCACAGCCACCCCGCAGTCAGCCTAATGCTCTTGAAGACAGGCTGCTGGAAGGGCGGGAGCAGACGTTGAACCACATCCGCACACCGAACCGATTCGAGCTGGTCTTGGATGAGCCAGTGATTATTGGAATGCGGCAGGTGCATCGCGATGCTGTCAAAGCTTCAACATGTTAAGCTGTGCAGTCTGGCGAGGCAGCTCTTCAGATGGGCGGCAAGGCCAACGACAAGGTGAAAGCCATGGAAAAGCCGGATGAGGTCCAAGTCTCGGAAGGATCTGTTGTCGTTTTTTTTTTGGTGTCTTGTCCGGGTGAATGGCCGAGGCCGCGGTCAAGGCGGCCCTGGAGGAAGTGTTGGCGAGCATGGCCTGAGAGCGGCGGTCCTTGTGCACAATCTTGAACCGGGCTCAGAATGAGCCATGGAGAACCTGGAATCGTGCCCGACCCGGAGAAAGGAGGACAACTGCAGAAGCCCCATCGATCAGGTTTGTCCCCAGCTGCTTGGCTTTGGCAGGTCCATGCTCAGATCATGGAGCTAAAGAGTGCTGACCCAAGCTCCTTTCAGGGCTGCTCTCGCTGTGTCTTTCCTTGATGCTGGCATGGGCCACTCATTGGGTGAGAAGGTGCCCACGACTTGTTGGATCTAGCCGGCGAGTTCGTCAACGAGTTTGCAGTGTTCCATGCGCACCCTCCTCAGAATCGGGCCACAGCAACCTATTCTCTTGCTTTGTGTCCTGCAGTGCCACGTTTTCAGCTGGAATGGTGCTTCATTCGCGTGCCGGCTCGCTGAAAGACTTCGCTGTGCCTTTTGGTGCATCCAAAGCCGCACAAAGACAGATGGTCTTCCAGCGTGGTTCCACGTAGGACCGACTGACACTTAAAGGGCTCTCGTGACCTGCGAGAGTTAAGTAGCCAGCAAAGCAGTTTGCTGCAGCGATCATGTCGGCCTGGCATGGGCAGCATGGGGCGCTTCCTCGGGACGATATGCAGGTGGCGGGTAAGGGAAGACCGGTGACGGCTGCTTTGTCGTCGTGCTCCATTTGTACCAGGGCATGGTGCTCCCTAGAGCTTCTGTTGTCTTGGCTTGGCAGTTTCGCCATCCTCGCTGCAGCGGCGGCTGCAGGTGCAGGTGTGACTGATCCTTAAAGAGGCTTCGCCAGCTGAGGCTCCCTCTGAACTTAGCGTGGCAGGTCAGCGCTTGAAGGCGATGGCGGCTTTGGAAGGGCGCGCTGTGGCAGGAGAGCCGTGCGGTCGAGGGCACATGCTGAGCCCGTGTCCAAGCCATTGCAGAACTCGTGTCCGAGTGGGTGCAGCTGCGGCATGCGGCGCTCCAGTCTGCAGAGATGCGCGGAGGTTGGGAGAGCTACAGAGGCGGACACCAGCAAGAGGTTTTCATGCTTTGGCAGGTTCTTGGCCAGAAGATGTTCTGCCCTTCAGCCCAGACGGCCGGAGAGCTTTCGCAAGATAGAGAATTTTGGGGAGCGAAGGCATGGATGCATCGAGCCAGGCCCAGGCAATGCAGGCCTCGGCCAGCGGGCACGCCTACTGCCCTTGCAGAGCCTTCGGCCGCTTCGCGAGGCAGGGCAGATTGCAATCCGAAGAATTCGAAAGCGACGGAATCGAGGCAGCACTAGCCACGCCCAACCAGCACCTGATCGTCACATGGACCACGGGCGCTTTCGCCCATCTTGCGCTCAATCTCGCCCTCTCCGTCCGACAGAACGTCCCAGCCAAAGTTTGACCCAAGAGTCGCTAGAGCTACATGAGCCGCACCCCAGGTGCCGCAGCTCGAGGCCTCACTCGTCACGACCCCAGCCATTTCTGAATCTTAACTTGCAAACGTGACCCTGTGACGTGACGTGCCTCTGCAGGCAGTTGTTTGTCTGGATGGGGATGCTCAACACCTCCTCACAGCCAGGGGATTCTTTGCCGCGCCTTTCTCGCACGGATCACGGCCGCGCGGCCTGCGGTTGCGGGTCGAGTGCTCTCTGAGGTTCTTCTGCAAGGTCCTACAGACGATGATGCCGTCAAGAACCCCTGGCAGAATGATGCTCCTCAGCTGGCTTCGATGGAGTGTAATGAAGCTCGAGGATCTCATGCAGGAGCATCAGTGCAGGGGATTGCAGCTGAGGATCTTTGGAAGTTCAAGCCTGTCGTCTGCACTCAAGTCTGGCGTGGCGAACTTGAGTAAACTGCAGTTGGGGCTTCAGGTATCGCCTGATGGCTTCGCTGATTTCTCTAGGCCGGGCCGTCAGTCCGGTGGCAGAGAAGTTCCGCGACATCCCTCTCTAGGCGTGTCGGCCCTGGTGCTCGACACAGATGTGGTGCTCCTCTCTGACCCCTTCCTGCATCTCCGACATGACGCGGACTTCGAGGTGTGTGGCGTTTCGTCACGTTCGTAGTGGTAGCAGAAAGCCACCCTCGCCGCAGGTCATGACAGATCTATTCTTTCCAGAGTCGCAGCTGCTGTCAACCACATTGCGGCCAGAAGACAACATCAACACTGGTTTCGCGGATCTGCTTAACGGGTTCAGCCTGTCATGTGCCAGTGGAAACTCAACTATGGCTCCCACTCATGCCTCGCTGCGAAGGTCTTCCACAAGAGCAACAATGCAGCGCTGCAGAGTCTTGTTTGCAAGCATGCGCCGGGTATAAAGTTTAAAGCGTCAACAGATGACATTCGGTGGAACGCATGTGCACCTGTCCGGAGACGAGGCTCATACTCGCATTTCTGGACTCCTTCGATGCGCTTATCTGGCAAGGCTTCAAGCGGGACTGGTTCAATCAACGCGCTTTCAACAAGCGTCTCAGCTGAGTGCGGGAGTCGCAGCTACACTTGAGGAACAGTTTGCGGCTCCGAGGCTGGTGTTGGAGTGGGTGGATGCAGGTGCTGCCAAGGCGGGGAACCCGTGGAACGCGTTTGGAGGCTGTCTGGAGAGTCCAGCGTCGCGGTGGCGCCAGGTTCTCTATGGAGCCGAGTCCTGGTGTTCCTTGCGATCCGGCCCTGGCCATTGGACCAACGTGGGAGGCGTTCCCGCGACGGAGCCATGGCGATCGCGGACCTGCGGCGAGTGCGACGTGACGATCCGAGTGCTGGATCCTGCAGCCTTCACCTTGGCCTTGGCAACTTCCCCTTGGCTTGGCCTTGGCCGTTATCGCTCTCTCTCAGGTCATCGCACACGGCATGAACTATTTCTGGCGCCGGGCGCATCTTCTCCCGCCGCTTCAGGGCTTCGCCTCTCTGAAGAAATGGCCCCTGCAAAGCCGCCGAGCCAGAGGGTGAGTAGGTCACCGTTGTATCGTCTGCTGCAGGAAGTCGCTGCTGTCGCTTGGCCTGGATGTTTGACGGCTCGTCGAAGTTACAGGACCTGTGGCTAGTGACCGGGCTCTTGACCCGGTTCTTCTTGACGCCTGGTCATTTCGTGCAGTGTGGCGCGATCCCTGAACCTTGCTTTTTGAAACTGCATCTACGTGGAAGCCGCCATTGTACCGTCGAGGTGCATGCAAACGGTGTGGAGCCCAAAGATTACTTCTTGCGACACCCGCCCTGCACTTGTAAGAGCCAAGCTGGCAGCACAAGGCACCATATATAGCATCACCAAGGTAAGCTGAGCTGAGTCGTCGTTGCCGTGAAATCGATTTTAGGAGACAGGGGCCTCTGGTATTTGGACGACTTCGCGGAGCGCTTTGGTGAGCACCCCCGCTTCTTTACCTACGTCCACGCAAGAGGCGCCAAGACATCCCTCTCTGTGACTTAATATACTATAATATACTATAGTATACTATAGTATACTATAAGATACTAATTATAATATACTATAATATACTATAAAATAATATACTATAGGGTGTACTACTCCTTCTACCTGGAAAGTTGAAAGGCTCTACCTTGACAGAGGACTTCGAGGATCTGGCAGCCGCAGTGGAGGCCGGGACCAAGCTCGCAGAAGCCACAGATAACCCGATTCTATTTATTAAAGGCCCCTATACCCTAAACCCTTATAGTAGCCCTTATAGAGCCCTTTATGGAACCCTTTAAAGGAGCCCCCCCAGAACTAATTCTTTGCTGGCTCCTCGTCTGCCTAGGTGGCGATGTTGCTGCGAAGGCGAGTTGTACTTCCAGACACCATGAACTGCCGCACCTTGCTCTGAACTGCTTTGGGGTCCTTAGAATAAGACCCTCCTATTTAGGGTCCCAATTTAGGGTCCTATATTAGGGAGTTACTTTGGGCTATGTCGCAGCTCAAGGCAACTGCCCAGCCTATGGGCCCTATGGGTTCCATGCATGGCCACGAAGCCCGCAGGGTGAGGACTCGCCCTTGCCACCAGGCTGTAAGCCACTAGACTTCAGTCACAACCCGGAGATCAGGAGCTTGGCTGCACCTTCGACTACTTCTCGCGTGCTGGGCTGGCCATGGGGGAGTGGCTGCGGTTTGCTGCAGAGCACCCGCCCCAGATTCTCTGATTCTCTCGCCAATACAGTTTGCAAGAGAAACCTAGACAAGGCACGGGCACAGGCACAGGTAACCAGCTGACCAATTTGGGAAGCGTGTGCAGGGCTTCAGGCGAGCTGTTTGAAAGCCGTCTTGCCGTTGCCTGATGATTGCGCAGGGTGTAGTTTCGACCCACCAGGCACACAGATCACAAGTCTCGGCAAGAAATATCCACTTAAGACTAAGAACCATCCCTGACCCAACATGCTTTTTGGGACAGAAGCTGGCCAAGAGCTCGCTACGAACCACTTGCAAGTCAAGCCCTTTGTCAGAGTTCCTTGCCGAGAATGCCGAGAAGAAAGTGCACTCCTTTCACCCAGCACTCAGCACGCATTCCATTTTTCAAGCCCGCTGTCCGATTCCGTCCAGATTCGAAAAGAGCCGCTGTTCAACTTCTGTCAGGTCTGGGGTCGCGAAGCTCGAGCGCTTCCGGGCCCTTGGGAGAGCCAGGTGGGCCTGGCAGCTCCGTCCTCCCCAAAAAAATGTGGGGGGGCTCCTGGCTCTGCAGGTTGGGGCACTTGGAGGACGTGAGAAGTGCCGTGTCAAAGCTCCGGGGCCGAGCAGCTGCCGACTTGGAGGCCGCACCCGTCCTGGACTTCGGCCGCTCGGTTCAGGTTAGAGTCAGAGGCCTGCGTTCTGCAGGGAAGGGGATGGGAGGGGGCGAGCTGCTGAGGTGCCGATGTTCCAATCCGCGCCTTGCGCGACCTTCTCAAGGCTGCAGTGGGCAGCGACCTCGGTGAACTGATCGGATCTCTAGGTCAGGAGTGAACGGCGTCAGGTGGAGAAGCCCTGGACTCCTTGCCATGCGCCTGGAGAGCATGGCCTGCCACCACCTATGCTTGCAGCTTCTTGGGCCCGAACTGAGCGGTTTGTGAGAGTCTTCGGCTCACACGTGCCGGCAATAAGGAGATGCCTTCCTTGTCCCGACAGCAGGCAGGGGCTGCAGTGTGGCCAACTCCACCAGAACGGCCCGGAGAGCATCGTCTGGCCCAGGCGCCTTGCACGTCTCGCCCGAGGGCCTCTCAGACTGCGACGGGAGCTCGCAAGCGGCAACTTGGACTGAACGTTGTGTGAGAGAAGCCAGTTTGACCCACAAGATGCGGCAGCCAAGGAGTGCGGCGTGTTGCCGTTTATGTGCTGCGAAGCCTACTTCGGATGGGCGGAGAAGTTCGAAGCTTTGGGCCCAGGCCCGGAGCGCCCGGAGATGCCAAGAGAGCGGAGGCTGCGCTGCCTCTTTGCAGCCCTTGCCTCGAGGCGCACCGGCATGGGATCTGCCATGCGGCTGTGGCTTGCGGCACTGCAAGGAGAGCCGCCCAAGACCTGGAGAGGCTTTGGGGTTTGGGGATCTGACCTGATGGGCCCTCAATGAGCTGCCAGATCAGGTGTGCTGTGAGCCCTTGGCAGAAGCTGCAAGGAAGAAATTCGGTCGGGGACCTTGGGAGATCCAGGAAACTGATCAGACCAGCTTCTGTGTCTGGGAAAGGTGTGAGCTGTGGATCGAATCCGAGCCCGGTCAGTGCGTTGCCGCGGCTGGCTGCTGGGATTCACGGGGAGTGCTGACACAGGCATTCAAACTTGCCAGCCAGCTCTTGCTTTCGAGGTTCCCGACGACACTGCCGCTCGGGTGTGACGCGAGTTTATTTCAAGCTTTCGGGGCAGCCGACAACCCAAGGACACATACAGCAGCTCTTCGTTGCGAGAGCTTGCCAAGGGGCGCCTGAGCACGGAGGCAGCCGCAGTGGTTCTGGCGAGTTCTTCGAACCTATGTCCCAGACGGCTGAGGATGCCCATCGGCTGTGCCTCACAAATGCAGCCCTGCACTTGCGCCAGGCAGGAGACACGGGCTTATAACGGTGCGGTAGAGACAACATGCCCGCATGTCCACAGGTCGGCATCGATGCGCAGCACCGATGTGAGGCGGTGCAGTTTCAGCTGTCGCGAATTGTCGTCTGCAGCATGGTGCATGTCTAAGGCGATGCTTGAGAATCTTGGTCGCAAGATTTGCTCTGCAACTTTTGCTGGACGAGTGCTTTCAATTCTTTTGTTCGCATGACATGACCGAGCTGCAGGAACTTCATGGCCGCCCAGAAAGGTTTCGCCAAAGATACGTCGTGACAGCCAGCACTGGCATGGGTGCTCTGCAGGGATGCTTGGTGGCCGCTTGCAACAAGGATGAAGGACATGTGCAACCAGGCGGTCACAGACCAGTGCAACTACCAGCTGGAGTCAGCACATCCCGTACTGTACCGACATCACCAAGTGGAAAGTGTTCCACCTACAACGAGCTCTCAGCCACGAGGGACGCGCATCTTCCACAGTGCATGGACCTGGAAGCGGGAGGACCGGAATTGAAAGCTGGTGTAGCTGTGAAGATCCGAGCCTGTGTGGCGGTCAAAGAGTTGGAAAAGCCATGGCCTGGCATTGCATGCAGAACCGAGTAAACATTCGACACTGTTTTATAAAAAAGCCATCGGAGCTGATGTCATGCATCTCCATTGATGTGTCTTGAACTCGGTTATGTGCCATTGCTCCACAATGTGGTTTCCCCCGTTATCTGCATTTCATCGCGTCTCGTTGAGTACAGCCAAGCCAAACTTCTGTCATCGACCTCATCCTCGCCATTTTCATAATGCCACGTCCGCTGGAACCATCTCTCACCACTTCTGAACTTGACGAGTGGTGTCTTCTATGCGTTGTCAGACTATCGCCTACTGAATTCCCAGAACTTGTCCGACCCGGGTTAGCTTGCACATGTTGTAGCGCAATCAAAGCAACATGCATGTGCAAATGAGGCAACTCATGCATGTATGCATACATGCAGACATGCAAATACGCATATGTTCATGAGTTGGTCCGGCCTGTACGTTTTTTTCGTTCGTTCTGTGTTTCTGTACCTATTTATCTATCTGTCTGTCTAAGACTATCTGTATGTAAATTGCCGCCTCGGGCTGCTTGTCTCCTTGGCCGCGTACATCACCTGAGGTCGGCAGCACTCCATCGGATCGCAAAAGCTGACGACCATCACCAGGCTGTTGGCCAAAGTGAAGTGGAAGAATCATCCGACAAAAATATAGGCAAGAGTCGATCGCAGAAATTCGGAAGCCATGCATTTAAGGAACGTGCGTGCGAAGTAGTTGTCCTCATTAGTTTTGCTGCTCCGACGCGCTTTGGACAGAGTCATCCAGACACAGCTTCAGCCGTAGTCACTACCAGAAAGCACGTGGAGCAACTACACATCCTTGTGCTAGTAGCCTCAATCCATCGTGTTGGGCTTACGGAGAACAGCGTAGTCAAGGAAGGTCAGCTCGATAACAAACATAAGAGTAAAGCGTGCGGTGCCAATCATAGTGAAAGTAAGTATCTCCATGAAGCCTAAGCGGTTCCATGCAGGTGAAGGGCGATGAACGACTGCGCGCATTGGCCTCGAAAGCCACGCGTTCCTCGGCTTGGCAGTTGGTGGGCAGGCTGTAAAACAGCTGACGGCAAGGTTGGACCGATGTAGTGCGCTAGGCGAGCTGGTGAAGTGGGACAAGCTGAAAAAGCCACAGACCATGCCACCTGGCGCTGTTTTTAGATTCGCAGAGTGTGACCTTCAGAAGCTTTAGGCGCTCCTTGGGGCATCCCAAGGTTGCATTGAGATTCGATCCGTCGATCCGTTTCAGTCACAGAGCTTCGCGTAAAGCCAACTCCAGGTCCAAGATCGTTTGGGCTATGGCGAAGCTGGACCTGCGGCTACACAAGCTAGTTGCCAAGGCAAGACCTGGGTTTATTGGGGTTAAGGGTTAAGGGGTTGGGGATTAGGATTTAGGGTTTAGGGTGTAGGGGCCTTCGGGGTTGCCTGACTCGTCAGGTCACGGATGAGGCGCTGCAGAAGCTGCCAGAGTTTGAGCCACAACAGCGACTCTGCTGCAACGGAAGATGGCAGAAGGGAGCACCCGGTGAACTGGAAGCTGAGGCTGGTGAACATGATGTGGGCCCTCAGAATATCTCAAGTTCTCAATCCAAAGGATCGTGGTTGGGCTCGAGGTGGTCCTATGCCACCCTGCGGAGCGACGCGCCGCTTGGCCCCCTTGCATGTGCCCTTTCCAGGCTTACAAGACCTGTCTTGCGATTTTTTTACCTTGTCGTCGTAACGAAGGCCTTTGTCCGACATGGCGGGGGCGCTGCGTGGCCGCATCTCCTCCCTGGCTCCGCTGGGCCGCGCCAACCTTTGCTGGGCCGTGGCAAAGCTCCAGGCCAGGTGGGCCGCAGAGCAACGTGCAAGCCCGCCGCCCTCGGGAACAGTTGTTGCATATGGCATATGGCATATGAAGCTATGCCTTGTAGAGAGGATAGAGAGGTGCCTGTCCTCAGATATACCGTGCAGGTGCGAGAAGAGTGGCTGTTGCGCGAGCGTGGGTCTCGGTGGGGCATGAACCGTGGCAAAGTTGCAGATGCGGTTGCTTTGCCAAGGCTAGTCCAGGAGTGCCAAAGTGCCATTCCGGAAATGAACGGTCGACTGCCCGACATGTCAGTTTGGGGGAGGCATTCATAGGTGGTTTCAGTTTTTCTTCATGCTCAGTTGGGCATTTGGAGGCCAGAACTTAGCCAACACCAGCTGGGCCTTGGCCACACTTCGGGTCGCGGACGACCGCTTCTTTGAGTCTGTGGCAAAGGCGGAGACTGCTCACGTGTTATTGGGGCTTCTCCGTGCTTGCAAGCTCGAAACAGCTAATAGGAGTTGTTTCTTCGGTAGTTTGCACATTACCACCAAAAAAAATCAGTCTGAAGATGTGGGAGTGCAGGCGGATGGGGGTGTGTTGTTTATGCCGCTTCAGCTGCCCTGTCCTGTCCTGCCCTAGCCTAACCCTGCCCTTCTTTGCGACTGCTCAAGCAGCAGCGGTGGCTGTACAGAAAGATAGGCAGTGGTCGTCAAAGCAGGTTCAGATGCCACAAGATATGGACGCAAATGCAGATGCTCCATGTCATGGTCCATAGGTCCGTTCTAGTCCATTCTGGTTCTGCAGGAGCATTGGACGATTGCCTAACAGTTTGGTTCCTGATGGAATCTTGTAGGTTGCTGCATGTTGGACTCGTGGAAGATTCGGCGATTCTGTTGAAGTAAAGGTTCCCGAGGCAGTGGCTTGAATAACATGTGAGGCTGGAGGCCAGGGAATCCGCAGAGGGGGGAAGGGGGGGGGAATCTGGTCTATGTTTTTCGTTTGGGGCTTGACTTGGCGGTTCTAGGCTTATGTTTGGGCTGTTGTAGAAGACGGGGTGGTCATGATGCCGATGCTGGGAGCCCAACAGATTTCCCTTTCGTCCCAGTTGTCTCCCACGTCGGCGTCGCAGGTTGTGGCTGCCCAGTGTGGCGAGTTTGCCCAGCAGACACTTGGCAGCATGGCTCTACATGGGACCACGTTTTCCTGACAACGAACTGTATCTCACAGGAACATCAGCAACACCGCCTGGGCATTTGCAAAACTGCAGATCAAAAGGCCAGGTCCACTTACTGTGCATTCTTTGCAAGAGCCCGGGAATCGGGGGAGGCCCGACATGATGGCGGCCATCTCACGATGTGTGCAGCAGCGAGCTGTCGAGATGCCGCCACAGGGCATAGCCAATACGGCTGGAAGCTCGGAGGTTTGCGGAGCGACTATGAATGGGCTGCTGGTATCCGACGATCCCAGGCATGGTCCTTCGCCACGCTGAACATCAGGGACGATGGCCTGATGTGGGGAGTCCAAGCTGCTCTGGTCGTGTTGTGCGTCGAAGTCTTCTGTCCGTTGCAGCACTTCATGATTCCGCTTGCTGCCTTAGTTTCTGCCGGCCTGTGCTGTGTAGCGCTGCGCTCTAAATATGCAATTCCGTGGCTGCCTCAAGGTGATAGTTCCTGTGTGACCCAGAAGCACATGCTCGCTCACCTCATGTCGCTAAGCTGTCAGCTCTGAGGGCCGGGACAGGGTTTTTTTACTGAGCCGAAGATTAGAGGCACAAGTTACTGTAGCCGCCATGGCAGCATTTCGGGCCGGCGATGCCTTCATGGATGATGTGCCTTTTCCGAACTGTGGCATAAATCTACGGGCTGCAGAAATAGTTGGGGGCATCTGCCGGTCGCACACAAGTTTTGTTGACGTCAAGACTGTCTTCGGCCAGGTTCGTGCGGCCCAGACTCAGATTCGCAGCTTGCTTGCGCTCGCCTCGGCATGAACGAGTACGATGCCTTGCGTTTCAGATGTCATGCATTGAGGGAGCGGATGATGATGTCAGTGGCAGTGAATGGTTCGACGGTGGCATGAGCGAGCGGCTTGACAACGCTTCTGACTTGTGCTGGCGAACTGTCGAGAGAGGACTCTTCATACATTTCTCGGTGTGAACATATCCGAGGAGAACAGCCGCATCACACTTCTCCCAGGAAAGGGGCTGTGCGCAAGAGATTTCATGACATGGTACCCTTTCACCATGTCATGACACCATGGAATGCATAGTGGCTCAGCAGTGGCTGGGAACCTGAAGCCCATGCAGGCCGCCAGGCTTTCGAGTGGTGCTGGCCGTGACCTCATTAATTAATGAGACTTCCAGAGTGCACGGTATTGCTACAAGTTTCGGTAGGAGTTGCCTGTCTCTCAATGCAGGGCATGTCACAGAAGTACCAGCACAACGGCTAGGTAATCAGAAGCCGAAAGTTCGATGGGGGTTTTCGGAGCATGGGCCCGGAAAGGGGCTCAGCCGACAGCACGATGCTCTTGCTACTGCGTGGCACCCATCCAAGGCATCATCGGCCGGGACGTTCCTGCCACTGTTGCCCGCAAGCAAATAGGGGAGAGATGGGCGTTTCCTGGCTGCCATGGACATCAACGCAGTTCAGGTTGGATCTCGAGTCGTCGTGCTGGATCCAAGCTTGGACAAGCTCGTGGAGCCAACTGGAACGATTGTGGAAGTGCGCTGTGATGGTGGCCGAGTGAAAGTTCAACACGACAGCCACGAGCCGAGATGTACTTCTCAGATTCTGACGGCTTGCCTAGCATTTGATAAGCCTAGGTGTCGACAAAGCGGAAAGGTACTACAGCACAGGCAAAGATGGCCACTTTCAGCCATTCGGCTGAATTAAAGGAGAGAGGATGCCATCTTCGGCGCTGAGTTTCCGTGTCCAGTCGTTCTTCCAGCAAGTTTCTGATGACAAACCTGCACTTGGACAAGCCAGGTTGTTGAGTTTCGAAGTTATCGGCAATATAGATATTATGTTGGTCGCCATGGGCGACCACCACCACCACCGCCACCACCACCGCCGCCGCCAGCACCGCCAGCAACGACCAGCATCATGCTGTGACTGATGGCGACTCCTGGGGCTGTGGGCGCAGTGCGCGGCTGTCCAGCTGTGACCGCGAAGACACATCACCTCCTCCTCCGACCTCCAGATCAAGTAATTAGTCTGCCTGCTGTCGGGGTGTTGTTAGCTGAGTTTCGTGTTTCCCAAGGCTCGGCGGCCTGGACGACCAGAGGCCTCGCTTCTCGTGGCTTGGACAAGATGACAAGCAACAGCAACAAGAGCACAGGCTGACACATCATCGTATGAGTTTATCCCGAAGCTTCACCACAAGAGCCATAGCACATCACCGTCTCCATCATCATCATCATCACTATCATCCGAAACGTGAGGGCAGGTAGACATCATGTTCAGCATTGTTGCATTCCTAACAGCAGTCATGTACAGGCGGTTGTAGTAGGCCCAAAGGAATAGAGTCAGAATACATCAGGAAGAGCGGCAGCAGTTACACATTGAGACCGTGACTGCCCGGATTTGTGGTTTGCAGTTCGGGGCTTTGATGGTTGAAGTTCAGGCTTATTTCAAAGTCCGCACATCTAGACCTGACGGCTGCCGAGAAGAGCAGCACAAGCAAGCTGGGCCGTTGAGCGAGAACCCTTCGGGGTGCACTCTGGGGGAAGAATGTGGTCTAGATTGGGCTACAAGTCGGTTTCTGTGGCTGGGCGTGGCTGAGGCTGCCGCCCCCTCCTTCCAAGGTCGAAGCGAGACCAGAGGCAGGCCACTCTTGGCCACAAGCAATGTAAGCTTCGACGTGCTATGCTAGTCAAGAACAGCTTGAGAAAATAGATGGCATCGGGCAGCAGGCATCGAGTGCCCTGCCCGCTGCAGCACAGCGGCGGCCGCGATACTCGGAAGTCCGGAGGATTGAGATCTTGCTTCCGTGACAGATCCTACCGTTTTGAGAAGATGAATGCCATGAAGCTATGAGGAGCATGGGTGGTCCGAGACGGGTAGGGAATTCTCAGACAGCAGACTCCAGCCGTGGCGGGCCAAGTCTCTTCGTTGATCCTACTACGGCCCCCCCTGTACACATGACAAGCAGCATGGCGTCTCGTCAGACACCGCTGATGCTGGCGTTGATGAAACGGCTGCGCTGTCTAGGACTGACAGTTCGAACAATCATCTCATCGCAAAGTCTTTTTCCGTGCCGGGAAACCTCTAGATTTGTCACTTGCTTTAGAAGTTTCACTAAACGACGTACGGGTCGCACAACTGGCTTGCAACATTTACCAAACGACACATGGAATCTGCAGGAGCAATAGTGTGGCAAGCCGGGTCCTCATGTGGTGTTGATGCATCTGATGCGCTACTCTTTGTGCGCGAATGTCGAGGTGTCCAGACATTTCAGACAGCGCAGACGACCGCAGAAGCGGCGCAAGTTGCTTTCGACTCCTCGAGCCGTGCTTCCTCCCGGCCACGTTACTCGGAGCTTCGCAAGGCACGGGCATCGGCACTTCGGCTGAAGTTCTTCCCAGCTGCGAACCCAAGAATGTGGTGTGCACGTCGCATTGGTCTGCAAGCCGAGGCTGTCCTTGCCGGACAGAGCGCTGAAGCCGTGGACCGAATGGAGGCCGCCACTCTCAGTCCGCGGAGAGTGTAGCGTGGATGGGCTGCCGAGCAGGCGTCCTGTGCCAGCTCTATGAGCAACACAGGCAGGATACCGGACGACTGCTCCTCGTCCTACTGCTTGTGCCGATATTGTTTCATGTAGTAAATCTTGCAACTACTACTCTAATAGGTTCGTACTAGCCAGGCGGGAGGCCAAAAATTGCTCCCCCTGATCATGTCATGGCAAGCGCTGTCGTTGATGTCGTCGTGGCTCTTGTTCTTCTTCTCCTTCTTGCATTTGTGGTTGTGGTTGTGGTGGTTGTTGTTGTGGCTGCGGTTGTGCTGGTTGTGTTTGTGGCTGTTGATGTTGTGGTTGTGGTTGTTGTTGCTGCTGTTGTTTCCTGCAGTTCAGTCATTTGTGGAAGGGCCAGTTGCTGACATCTCGCCTCGACCGCGGCCTCTTATCGGTGCGACAGCTGACGAGGCAGGCTGCGTAGGTGTCGGTGTGCAGTCTAAATATTCCAAGTGTCTGTAATGGTGCCGGTACCTGGTCGTGTTCGGCAAGGCAGCCAGTGGGAATCACAGCCTCCAGCCACAGGCAATTGTTGGGGTTGTCTGCGGCACAGGCGGAGCACAGACAGGTCTGCTCTTTCAACTGCCAGCGCTGTGCAACTGTGTGCGTAGGGCGCATAGAAAACTATCTAGAATCCAGATGTTGAAAAACGATCCATTGACAGGCCCGGAGGAGGTGCCGCGCCGAAGGAGTGTTGCTTATGAGGATTGTATCCAGGGTTGACGAGTTAGCGAGAGGTGACCACGGCAGGGTTGGCATGATGCCTCACCATCTTTATGCTGCGAATGCTCATTGCTATCACTGGCATCACTGTTAGCCTTGGTACTGTTCAGTGTAACTATCGTTGTGTTTACCAGCAGTGCCACTGTTGCAATCTCTGTGATATTCTGTGATTATCGTTGGCCATCGGTGATCTCGCCAGTATCGCCCGTCAATGATACTCCTGCCTGGAGGATATTCGTGCTTTCTGTGACGATATTTAATTGCGTCTCCGAGGTATTCGGAGCAGCGCCGTGCCTCACGCAGCCCAGCAAGGCCTTTTTGACCGATGGCCGTTAAGCATGACCCATCGAGTTTATGCTTGACTGGGCGCATATGCTGCAAGACCGGATGTCAGACAGTGCGGAATGGACGCCGAGGAGGCCAAGTGACTGAACAAAAAGGTTGAGTTTGCTGAGAGGGGGGAGCATCGCCGAACTGTTCATGTCCTGCACAGGGACCAGCAGAGGGGACGACAGCGGGTCGTTCAAGTTGTCCTCCCTCCAATCCGGCTGGGCCAACAGCAGAAGAGTTCTCACAGCTCTGCCGGCGTTTGGAGACTCTCGAGAACCCTGGCTGCAGAGTCTGCTTTGACTAGTGTCCTAGGGCAGGATGCCGCCCCGTAGAGTTGGAGTTTGAGGTGGGAAACTTAATGCCCGTGCCCGGACCGAGGCGTGATACGGCTTCGCTTGCGAGCCAACTGCAGAGCTTCCGGGAAGAAAGCCTTACGGAGCCTGGGCTGCGAGCACGGAGCTTTTGGCCTTGCAGCCTCGTGGCCTTGCAGGACATGAACGGGTTGCGGGATCAAGGCCGCCAACAGGCCGGACGAATACTCTGTCCAGCCCCTTTGTCTTCGTGGCATCTGCTCCTGGCAGGCGGAGGCTTATGAGCGACATTGGCGTGATGAGACGCGAAGGCCGTCGGTGGTTAGAGCACGGTGCGAGACAGTGAACTTGCAACGGTACGTGCAAGCACGCATGCAAACATCGCTTGTAAGATTTTGCAAGTATCACCGCCCACATGAAGCCACTCGTTGGAAATAAACGGGACCTTCAGAATTTCAGCCGCTCAGAGTGATCGCGGTCGAGTGGGATCGCGCAAACGGCTCATCAGGCACCTCGAGGCCTGTGAGGAGCACCTTAGACAGCGCTTCCGAGAAGAGCAGCTCGGTGGCATCCAGACTCGAGCAGCCAGCAAGCCGGGAGTAAGCCGGGCAAGCAGTGTGAGGACCTTGCGTGTTCTCCCCTTGGCTTTTTTCGAGGAATCGGCAGCAACTGGAAGCCACCGAGCACCGGATCTTCAAAAATGCCCCCTGGCCCCATGATCCCATCTAGCGCCGAATCCCGCTGCACCCATTGTTGGACGTTTTCAGGTGATGCAGGAGTTTGAGGGCCAGCTCCGTGGGGCTGTGGCCAAGCTCTGTGCCTCGCCACAGTCCCCGCAGTCGCAGTTCGAAGCGGAGGAGCCGGAGCAGGAGCCAGAGCCCCGGATGTCTTGTGGAGGTCCTGGAGGTCTTGGAGTGGAGCCTAGAGGTGTGGGACACATGAGCCAGCTTTCAGGTACGAGACGCCCGGCCCCGAGGAAACCATCCGAGTTGAGAAGAAGGTCTTCGACATCTCGCGGGCCGAGCTGGCTGACTCCGCCGCTTTGCTCAAGCCAGGTTTTGGCAAGCATGCACGATTCAGCAGCGAGAGAGTCGAACTGACAGCAGCCCCCAGTGCTGTAAGTGAAGCATAATTTGCTGTAGGAGCTCAGCCTGCAGACTATTGGCTCCATCGCGCGACGAGTATCGGCATCTCTGGGAGGAGAGAGCAGGCCCTCGGGCTGTGCCGTTTGAAGCGAGCTCTTTGATTCGCCCGATGCCCTGCAAGATCCGCGGCAAGTTCCAGCACACCCCAAAGAGCCTTTGCGGAAGATTGTCCATCTTTGTCTCGCTGCGAAAAGCACGAGGATGGTCGGGAACTAGATGGGAATAGCAGCAGAGTTTGACCCAGGCGAGACGGACGCGATGTGCTTACTGCCTCAGCAACGACAAAGCCCCTGAATCTAAGGAGACGCTGCCGAGAAGCGTGCTCTTCAGCAAATGCACAGGTTGGCTGTTGAAATCGGGCCGTGCTTGCGAAGACTCCTGCAGGTTGCTCCATGCTAGTTGCGACTTTCTCCTTCTCCTTGCGAGTCCACACCTCTGCAGTCCAGGCTTCCGTCGAGCCGGAACGACCGAAGCCCGCGGACCGAACCCAGCTTCGAGCAGTTGGAGCAGGCGACGGCACTGAACTGCTGGTGTCGTCAAGCTGACGTTTCAGACAACATGTCCAAGCCAGCCTGCCAGAATCACAGGGCACGCTGATTATTTGTTACACGTACGTGCAAAAAGCAATTCTCGACATGCTCTGAGATCGCTGCCGAAGTTTGGGCCAGATAGGCATGAATGTCATGCAAGCTTGGGCCTTTATGCACGGCTTGGACCAGGAGATGGAGAGGCTTGCAGATATGAGACGCTATGCATCACAAGTGTCACTTTGGCCGCATCTAGGTTCGGTGCAAGATAGGGCCAATCTGCCCAAGTCCATTTCTTCAGACAGAAGCTCGCAGTGCCAGGCTGGGGGCGAAGTCGCAGGAGCTGGCAGGCACGAAGAGTTTGATGAGACGGTGCAAGGTCGCAAGTAAGAAAGAGATGCAGGAGTGTGCGCTGGTGAGGCTCTCGAGCGGCGCCAGGGTCAGCTTCGCAGCCCTTCGACGCGTGGCAAGCCGCAGAGGACGAGCTTACAAAGAGAGATGTGGAGCTGGTACATACTCTCAGCTTAAGTCTAATTGTTTTATGCACGGCCACATACAGGAGACCATCGACCTTTGTCCACACCTTTGCATAGCTGCATACCTCGGCAAATGCAAAGGTGTTGGCTGCAGATGATGGGCAACGTTCATTCGTATCTGTCAGTGTAGTATAGACACACGAGGGCAGTTGTTTGGGCTGTGACGGTGCCTTCGGTCCGTTTCGGAGTTGAACGCTGGGGCACTTCAAGTGTCGCACGGGGCCTGTTCATTAGCCAAAGCCGGCTGGTGACCCCACGAGGTGTGAGGCAGGTTGGTTGTTTTTTGGTCCAACCTTTTCCTTATGTACCTTCGGCATGGGATGGGCCAAACCTTCCTTGATGCCCTAAGCTCAGCTGTGCTCGGAGTCGTCTTCAGTCCTCTAGGACCCAAGGGACAGCTGGGCAACTCCAACCAAGTGAAGGCATGACAGAAAAGGGAAATGCTTATCCGGGCCCTGGCAGCCAGATCGAGACCGGTCGGCCTGCACTCACACGAACCAGCAGGGAAGCCTCGAAGGGACACCCTCCCCCCAAAAAAAGAGAGCCCACCTGCGTCTACCTGCCAGCCCCTCATCACTCGCCTTAGTAGTTATAATTGTACCCATTCCTCCATTCCCTACTAACCAAAGGTAAGTCCAGCAGGGGTTGCGGCAGGAGAGTCCCAGCCGGGAGATCAAGGAGCCTGCGCGGCGCCGGACCATGCCGGCCGCTGCTCCATCTCCGACGCTTCCTGCCGGAAGCAAGGCTTTACATAGTTCGGCCAGTTGCCAGGAGCCCTAAACCCTAAACCCTATGCCTATGGATCCTCGCCTGGCTTGTCCGAGTTGTGAGAGTGTAAACCCTATGCCAGCTTTGTGCGAGTGTGTGAGTCCCTAAACCCTAAACCCATCAGGAGCCGGTGAGATCGGTTTTGGGCCTTGGCCGAGGTTTGGCCGCCCCGAAACTCCTGGGCGGACCACCAGCGCCGAGCGGTGGAAGTCTGGTGCCGAGTGTTGGGCCGATGTGGGAGTTTCCGAAAAGTAGGGGTACCTTACTTTGGGGGTCCTTATAATAAGGATCCTAGTATTTAGGGTGCTATATTAGGGTCCCCCTATTTTCGGAAACCTCCATGGGTTTGCTTTTTTGGGCTTCGCAGGTCCTCTCTTGTTGTGAGGCGCCGATCTTCCGTTCAGCCCGAAGGGGCTCAGGCTCCCGCCTGCCCATGGGAGGCCAACGACAGCGACAGTGGCCACTTTGTGGAGATGTAAGTGAGCTCAGCTTCCCTGTGCCTTCAGGAGGAGCAGCAGCTCCCTGCCTCACGAGTTCAATGGCCGGCTGTACCCTGGCTCAAGCTGGCGGATTTCCCGGCGTAGCTTTGTTTTGGGAGCATTTCTGGCCAAGGATTGGCAGGTGGACAGTCAAGGACGGCTGATCTTTTAAGGACCGTGGTAGGGACGCGGTTCCCAAGGAGCCTTTTGGGGAGGTCCGCAGAAATTCGCCACGTGTATTGCCGGGATTTCTCGGCCCATGGGTTCAGAGACGAGCCTGCAGAAGAAAAGCTTTAAGACAGTTGCGAGGCCCGGGGAGTTGCTCAGCGGTTCAAAAACGAATCGGGCTGGATTCTGGCATTCTGCAGCTCGTCTGCGAACCTATCGGAATGGCGCTGTAGGAAAATGATACTTAGGATGTGAGGCAACTCCCTCCGAGCGAAGGTGGACCTAGATTGGAGATCCGACGGCAAGCTACGTAGCTAAACTGTTGCTAGATTCTGCGGGGCATGCCTCAGATCCTGTTTGCGCAGTCTGTCTGGTGCCCTTAGTGCTGAAAGCAGCTGCTGGGCTGACTGGGTTTGAACGCTTAGATCCGTCAGTCTGCAGTGGGACTGTGACAGTAGCAATGCTGTGCTCCACTGCGCGGCCAAGCCACCTTTTCGCTCGCAAGGAAGAAGTTCGATTGTACTTCGCAGCAGGACCTAGTAATGTGTAAGTCAACCAGCGGAGAAGTTTTGCCGAGGTCTGTGCTGAAAGCGCAGCTTGTGTCGCGAATGAGCCAGTTCCAGTTGCAGAACGTGCCGTGGCGATAGAGATCGTTTCGCTGATGCCCAGATGCCGACGTAGCTGCGCCACTTCTGTAGACCCTAGGTGATGAACACCACCTGGGCCTTTGCCAAGCTCAGCTGTGCCGATGCCGACCTCATGGCCCTCGACTCGGCTTGGAAGCCCGTACGAGTCCTGAACACAGCATGAGCACCCATTCTGCATAAGTTGGGCATCTGTGGCAACTGCTCGGCTTTGGCTCAAGCACCGGCCTGCGTAAGGCAGCCGGCGCAACTCCAGCATGTCTGCCATCTATGAGAACCTGAGGCAGCTCATCACCGTGGTAGATGAGCTGCGAGATGTGGGCCTGCAGCACTACATCAGCCTTCCTCGGATTGCTGCAATCGGGACTCAGAGCAGTGGCTGCTCGGGTTTGCAGTGTAAGACTTGCCGGAGGTCTGTCTGAAGATCCTTGGGACGGTCCTGACTTGCAGTTGAACCAGTATTGCTGTCAATCGTTGCCCTTGGTTTTCATTTCTAGCCTCAGCAAGCAAGGAAAGAGTTCTCTCATTGAGTCCATCGTTGGCCTGGACTTTCTGCCGCGTGGAGGGGGGGTTGTCACACGACGTCCTCTGGAGTTGCGCCTCGTGCACTTGAACTCGCAAGAGTACGCGGAAGACAAGGCTTGGGCTGTGTTTGACAAGGTGCTTGGCCGCAGGTTTTGCAGAGCTTTTCGCTGTAACAAGAGAGTCAAGATCCCCTGCCCAGATACAATAGCGATAGAGATCGGGAAGCGTTGCAGATGCTTGCTCTCTTCCCCGAGCCCTTGGCTCAACGAAGGTCGGAGATAAGAAGTTCACCAACTTTGACGAGGTCAGGCAAGAGATCGAGCGCCAGACGGATCAAGTCGCAGGAGCGAACAAGGGGATCGTCAATGACCCCATCATCCTCACGATCTACGCCACAGGAGCGCCTGACCTGACACTGATTGATTTGCCGGGGGTTACCAGAGTGCCGGTCAAGGGCAGTGACCAGAAAGAGGATATTGAGAAGCTGACGAAGGACATGACGCTCCACTACATCAACGACCCTCGCACGATTGTCCTGGCAGTGCTGCCAGCCAATCAAGACATGTCCGTTTCGGACAGCCTTCAGCTGGCCCGCCAGGTAGACCCGCAGGGCTTGAGATCTATCGGCGTCATCACCAAGATCGACATCATGGATCAAGGAACGGATGCGGCAACCATGCTAAGAGGTGAGGATGTGCCCTTACGCCTTGGCTATGTCGGTGTCAAGATGCGTAGCCAGCAAGACATTGTGAACAAGAAGCCGGTGAAGGATTCCCTTAAAGACGAGAAAGAGTGGTTCGACAACCACCGAATCTACAGCAAGCTGCCCCCAGGCATGATTGGGACCCCCGTCTTGATCGACAAACTGACGCAGATTCTCTTCAAGCATATTCGAAGGTTTCTGCCCGAAATCAAGAAAGAGATCAACGAAAAGCGGAGATCTGTCCAAGATCGCTTGGACGAACTTGGAGAGGGAGTGCCGCTTGAAACCGCAGAGAGGGTCCAGGTGATGTGGACTTTAGTCACAGACTATTGCGAGATGTTCAAGAACACCATCAGAGGCAAGTATGACCGCAAGCTGCAGCGGTACATGTGCAACCTCACCGGCGGTGGTGCGCAGGGAGGTTCGGGTGGCGCGAAGATTCGCACCATCATGAATGACTTCTTGATTGACTTCATGGAGACGAAGATCACGTCTGACATGTCAGATGATGACATTGATAAGGCTATTCGCCTGCATGAAGGTGACTCATTGCCAGGTTTTCCTTCACCGGACACCTTCGAGTTCTTGGCACTTCCGCACCTGCAAAAGCTCGCGATTCCGTCGGTAGAGTGCGTGCACAACATATCCGCAGCACTGGATGTACTGTCGCAGCGCATGGCACATGCGGTGTTTCGCCGGTTCCCTAGGATGGCAGAGTCTGTCTTGAACCTGACACAGAACATCATTCAAGAGCAGAAGGATGAGACCCGCCGGATTGTGGAAGAGCAGATTGCATGCTCCATTGGCTACCTCTTCACAAACGATCCGAACTACTTGACCAACCATGGCTCCATGGAGCCTATGTACGAGCAACAGCAGCAGAAGCCACCGCCTCCAGTTGAGGAGGAAAAGAAAGAGCCGGGAATGGCAGACAAAGTGAAAGATGCCACGAAGCAGGGGTATCAAAGTGTGAGCAGCACGGTAAGCTCCATGTTGAAGAAGACCGAGGCCCAAAGAAAACAGCAGCGGTACAGCGGGCCTTTCGTTGCAGAGATTCGAAAAAGGTTGGATTCCTACTTCGAGCTTACGGTGAGGAACATCAGAGATTCCATTCCAAAGGCGATTGGCTTCTACCTCGTCAGAGCGGTGCAGGACAAGCTGCAGTTTGAGCTTCTGAATGCCTTGAATCACCCAGACAAGTTGTCCGAGCTCCTTGGAGAGCCTCCCCACATAGTTGAAGAGAGGCGCACGTTGAACAATCAGCTGCAGGTGTTGATGAAAGCAAGCTCCGTCTTGACAAGAGACCCAACCCTCGCAGCCATCGCCTTTGAGGCAGAGGACGAGGCAGCGGCCAGCCCAACAGCCCCCTCTCCCGCTCCCCCCAAACCCATGCAAGCCACAGCCAGTGCAGGCACAGGCCCGACAGTACCCGTCTCCACCATGCCCTCTATGCCCTCTGCCAAGCCGGCTGTCTCAGTTCCGGCCCCAGCCCCGAAGCCAGCAGGAGCCACGAGCCTCTTTGGTGCTGGGTCCGCGCCACCGCGATCGTCGCTTTTTGAGGAGGGACAGCCGAAGCGCCCTGCAGCCAAGAACCCTTTGTTTGATAGTTAGGCCAGTGCGGCCAGTTACGCCTTGCTGTTTTCCCCGCCTCGCCGTGGCGGCAAGACCTATTGCACGAATTGCTTCGATACGGACATGTGTTTAAAGAGCACGTGTTGATTTTGCACACACCCGCTTCGCGACATGGGGCCAAAACGGAGACACGTGTGCTGTAAAGATGGCTGACGCCGCGCCCTCATCCTCTCCGATAGTATGTCAATGAAGTGCAGGTTCTCGCTAGTTACAGATGAACCTTACGCGAAGCTCGCTTGCGGTCTCCTCTGCTCTGACAAATTATGTTTGGCACTAGTCCTGCAGCAAGGCTCGCTTCACGTCTGAGCTGCCCCGCCGCGATCTGGCAGCTGGTGACCTCACGGTGCGGGATGTCCTTCAACATGTCGTCGAGCATGTGTCCTTCACAGCCTACTTAGGCCCAGTCACTCGAAACTTGAGTAATTAACTTGAGTGGGCTGTGATGCGATGCTTCCTTATTCTTCAGCCTTGAATACTGAGAGGTTCTTGGCGGTGGAACCACCGAAGACTCTGGAACCTGAATTGCAGGTTGCGGCATGGTGCTGTGCTAGCGCGGAGCACCTTAACGAGCACTTCCTCCAGAAGTTGGCGTCTGCAACTCATTGTCGTCGGAATTTTCGGGTTTCGCTCTCACAGGTGATCGCCAGAGCGAAACGGCACCGGAAGCCCTGGTCCGCCGAGGAAAGATATCCTCATAAAGCTCCCGAACATGGGATACCAGGCCAGGTTGGCAGTTGATGCTGTAGTCTTTTTCAGTTGCGCAAAGCACATCTTGACTAGGGCCACGACGTCGCGACAGGACTTGGCCAATGTCTCGTGGGCCTTTGCGAAGCTCGGCGTTCAAAATGATGAGTTGTTCGAGGCAGGTACCGGGTGGTTGTTTGTTATCGGTGGCACTTTGTCCAGAGTGTGCTGCAACATCAATGTGCCTGCAGGCCATAGCCAAGGAGGTCGTGAGGAAACTCCCAGAGCCAGTGGCCCAGGCTCTCGCGCGGTCCCTCACATTGCCCCGCATTACGACAGGTAGTAGTTTGAGGGCTGACCCCTGTTCCTTGACCCCGAGGTTTGAGCCGCAGAACCTGGCCATCACGGCTTGGGCTGGGGCCTTACTGGAGCAGTGTGAAAGGGAGTTTCCGAAAATAAGGGGTACCTTATTTTGGGGGTCCTTATAATAAGGATCCTATTATTTAGGGTTATGTCGGCGAGACAAGC